TTCATTTCAAGCTGTGCTTTGTTCCCTTATCTCTAGTAGCAGCCTGATTTATCTTGTCCTCAGAGTTCGTATCTGGTTTTGATTTCTCTCCTTTTTCCTTCCTCTATCCTATTTTCTCCTGGATTACTACTACTGCTTTCTTAATTATCTCATTTCTAGGATGAGCTGAACTTTACCGTAACAGTGTCCTGCGCTGGACTTCCTTAGAAGAGGACATTGACTACAGAATTGGCGTGCACCTTGCAGTAGCATTCAAGGTCTTATCCTGACATTACCATTATTTGCCATTTGAAAACATGAAAGATGCTCTGAACTTTGTGTTAAAGCACTGTTCATATTCTGAATACTGCAAATATATATAATAAAAAAGAAAACTGATATCAAAGCACACGCACACCAAAAAACCCACAAATTAACAAAATTAATCAGTCGCACACTTTAAATATTCTGCTTTAAAGTTATCTATTTAGAAAAGAGACAGGCCTTTTTAATTCAATGCTTGAAATACTGTGACATAACTTTGTTCTTTATTCTGGTATTCATCAAGATTGAGCCCTCAAAACATCCAGCACTACTGGGTTTCTAAAACGTTCATTAGATGCCTTCCTGTAATCCTGTAAAAACTTCCATAACATTAGCCATCTGAGTACTCTACCTGGTGACATCCAGAGCTTTTTGAACTTTTGCTTGCACAGATCCCAGCAAATCTGCTCCCATTTTCTTTAGCAACTGGGTCAGGAGAACAAAAAGCCAATCCTGCAAATCATCTTTATGAATGATGATGAAATCAACCAGAGTTTCCAGGAACATGCTGAAGACCTATAAACAAAACAAGTGTCACAAAAAGGAACCCCATGCTTTAAATAAGAATAACCAAAAGGGGAGATGTTTCAGGATGACTTTGTTATAGACAGTTTCATGAATGAATGATTTTAGTGACTACATTGCTCTGAAAAAAATATACAGACAAGACACATCTAAAATGTGTCATATTAAAATACCAAATGAAGGAAGGGGGTAGAATACACTTACTCTCTGTTGTGAATTCCACGGCAAAAGCAGGCCATGCAACAAAACAAACCACTCGTTAGCACACATAGTGATCAAGGCTGGTTGTCAGATGCAGTTTGTCGACAGATAAAAGATGCATTCATTGAAAGTTTACATTTTCTTAAAACACAATCTCTCCTCAGCAGAGTTACTTAAAACATTAAATACTTTGGATCAGATCCAGTCTCCTCACTCATGGAAGTAACATATGTTTATGTATGTTTATATGGAACAAAGTTTACATTTGTTTAACACCATAACTAACCAGTTTATAGCAAGAATTCTACGAAAGCAGTGCAAACGACAGATCACTACTGCCACAGAGGACATACTTGAGTTCAGTGTCCAATAAACCCTCACCTTACTCGAAAATCGGCAATATTTTGCAAACGAATAGCTACACCTTCACCATTTCCACAACACATACTGAACCTCTGAGAACCAAAACATTAAGACCTCACAGGTAGGAACTGCCACACTCAATGAGGCCTGTGGGACAGATGGTCCAGACTATAATTACGGCCAAAAATGCGCACTTCAAGCATGACCTGTGACAAGCAACCATGCCTGCCCAGGAGGTTTCCACCCAACAACCATTTATTAAAACTGGTTTACCAAGTGGTCTGAAGTAGAAATATTTATACAACTTGTTCTTGCCATTGCTGGTTGCCCTCAACCAGCAAACCTCCTCCAAAAGGGGCATGAAAAATCCCTTTTCCCCTCTCCCTGTTCCCACCTACCTGTCAACAGAAGACCACTGGGTCTGAACTTGCCTGTGGGCCCATTCCCTGCTCTGCTTCTTTTTAAGAGATGTCTGTAAATTCATGCCACGGCCTTTAACTTCAAAGGTCAGTGTTATAAAGAAGGCAAAGTGGCTATATTAGAGACTTTATTTACTTATGAGATCCAGAACAATATCTTGGTGAGAATGTGTACTGCTGCCAGGTGTACACGCTACAAACCCCGGTGACCATGATCCTGAACTATGGCTCGTTACCCTTCATGGACCTCACACTACTGTCTATCACCAAGACACTCCCTAGAGAAGTACAGATAAACCTGAACCTCTCGCTCCAGGAGCTGACATCTGAAAGGCATTAGGCTGCTCCTTGGGAAGCACAGGGTAACCAGTTCCTAGCAACAGAGGAGAGACCAAGACACATCCCTTCATTGTAAAACAGAGAAAAACCAAGGAGATTTATAAATGCCAGTTTCCCCAAGCAGATGGCAGGAGTAGAAATACAAAGCATTCATCTTGGAACAGTGTCAAATGTGCACACATGCTAATGTAAGAAAGCGAGCCAAGTCTTTGTGATCTTACCTTGCTGTGAGGGTCAGCAAACATGCGAGTAAATATTTCACATAGCCTTTTTAACTCGACTCGGCTAAAATACATAAATAAAACATGATATTAATGCTCAAGCTTTAGTTGCAGCAAAAAAACTAGTAACAACTGAAAAATCTAACCTTCTTTATTTAAATGTTACTTAAGTCACACTTCTGAAAACTCTGTATCTAGGCAAGGACTTAACTGGCATTCCAGTTTAACTGCTGAGATCACCAATCTTACATTGGGAAATCTAATAAACGTGTTTTGTTTTTTTAAATCATAAGTCAGATCCTTCTATTTTCTGCTGCTTCTATTTTCTTCTGTATTCTGGATTGCAGAAGACTACTTGAAATGCACACATTTGGGAGGTATTCACTTTCTGCCTGCATCAAGGTCACAGGCTCACTGAAACACGGCTCTTTTGCAGCCTAGGAACAGGTTTCTCAGGTCTCCTTTGTGTCAGGGAATTCAAATTTTCAAGTAAAATCAGAACTTTCATGCTGTTTGGGTGTATACTAATCATAAATATTTTGGTCTAAATTCAAAGTTGCTTCAGTAAAATCAGTCTAGAATCACACACTATTAAAAGATACCAGAACTGACTCCGAAGTCTGAGGGCAGACACACTGAGGAGACAAATACATAGAAACAGAAGACATATTAACAAGTGGGAAACCTACTAAATCAGAAGATAATTAAATCAAGGCACAATCTAAGTTCCTATTCGTAAGAGATTGAGGTGCTCAGAAATGCTCTTTTTATGCCAGGGGAAAAAAGAATGATGTGTGGGTCCCTTTCATAAGATACTGAGTTTGAGTCAAATGCAGAACTGTTTGGTGCCAAAGCTCTTATTTACAATGCATTGAAAATACAAGTCTTCGTTTTCCTGTAGTGCAAACTGCCAAAGAATGCAGAATTTTTCAGAGCACAGCAGTTAGGTAGTATTTCCTGCATACTATGGATGCAATTAGATATTTTCACAATTGCTATGTAATTACAGCAACTAGTGAAATGCACATGGATTGCTCAGAGAACAGCCATTCAGATCTTGACTACAGGTACCCTCTTTCCAGAAAGATGTTAATTCTACAATCCACCAATGTATCTCCTCCTCTCTCAAAACAGGCTTCAAAGAACAGGCCAGAATATGCTAATAGTCTGCAATTATTTTATGTTACCTTGTTTATAAGTAACACGGGACCTTTTTTTTTTCCCCCAAAATAAATCTATGTATGAAAGGCTGATCAAGTTTTAAAAGGGCACAAAGACAATGGTCCTAAGAGTTTGATGTAGAGAAAAAACTCTTTGTAACGACGCCACAGCAAGCTGTCAGCTTCATTCAGGAAGAGACTGTACAGTCTCAAAACTACCCTACAATGCTCTTCCTGACTTCATGCAGATTGCAGCTCTCTGAATGAACCTTATTTATTACTCTAATAATTTTCTTTCTGGACAAAGGTTACATGAAGACAGCGAGTATAAGCATGTCCCTTCCCAAAAGCTCATGGACCCAAGGTAACAATGGAAGTACTAAATTGAAACAGGCAGTGGAAGAACATTTCCTTAAGGGACTTGTTGGCCTTGTTTTATTTAACAGAACTTATGAGGAGCCCTTAGAGAACTAGGCCACATGAAGCTGTATGAAACAAAGAGGATAGGTAAGTGCCATACCTCTTTGCATGCACATCTTTCTGGATAAGCAAATCCCAGCTAATATAGGATCAAACATCTTTCAGTTCAGAGTACTAAAGAAAACCTAGCCACATCACTGCCTTTTATTAAACTTCTTATACCACAACAGAAGATACCAGGTTTAATTAGAGACTTGCCCCTTGGACTAATGACCTTGATGATGTTCTGCAAGATGCCATGAGAACAAACAGGGTGATAAAATCTAATCATTAGAACAGGCACTAGATCAACCCTGAACCAAGGAGGAAGCAGACCAAAAGCAAACAAAAATGAAATATTATCTAGAGAACTAAAACCAGTATCAAATTAAAAAATAACTCTGCAGGGATGTAGTTTCTGGGACAGGCTTATGAATTATTCAGGATCAAAGCTAAGAAAACTTGCTAGCTTGAGGGACAAGTGACAGCAGTACAGTTCAAACACTGCAACCAGCAGGGTTGTAAACAGTAATTTAATTCTACTGGTGTTTCTGCTAAGAGCTGCTGATCTGGATAAATAGCCCATAACCTAACCTTCACAGCACTTCCTCCCTTGGAACTATCCCCAACAGCACACAAAACCTTGGTTATAATCCTCACACACCTTTGTGGCAAAATCAGTCTCACCCAACTTTTTCATACAAGTATACGAGGTGCCACAGTTTTTCCATACAGTTCGTTAAAATAAAGAAAAAGAAAAAAAGGCAGCATAGATGTGGGAAGTATCTTTTAAAAGACTCGTAAACAGACCACATCAAAAGCATCTCTAGAGACTTTAACTACCCGTATTAAAAACCTGTAGCACTTCCCACTTAAGGACTGCACTACATCATGTGAAGGGCTAGAATATTTTTATGAAAGCAAGAGAATAACCTTTCCAGGCCTGCTCCCAGTACATTTTCATTCAGCCTGTTAACGTGAACCATCAAATATTGTCAGTCAGCGTGAAGGCCTTTTAAAATAGAAACAATTGTGCAAATCCAAGTAGGTAGGCTATAAACCATGCAACAACCACTTATAAACTTGGTCATAATTTAAGTACATAATATTCATAACAGGAAAATAAAAATATTATAGCTATTCACGAGTTCTCTTCAAAGAAGCCAAGAGATAAATGCTTGTTTCCAAACACGTTCACCATAAACTAAGTAGAAAAGCCTATAGCCTGATAGCCAGGTGACTTTAGTTAACGTGACCTGTGGCCTTATGAAGTTTCCACAGGACTATTGGGTAGTTCTAAGATCTGCTTTAATGTGTAACATGCCAAAGGTGTTTGAAGCATTTATGTGTCTTTCAACAAGGGAAAAAGGTCTGCCTCTCCTACTATAATCAAAGTTTCAGAGTTGGTACACCTATTTCATTGCCCTAAGAAACTTCCCTCTACATTATAAACTACATCATATATAGGAAATCCAAGTTTCTCATATAAGATTTTTCAAGAGTTACAAATAAAGTCTATAATTATACCTAACACAACCTTCATAATGAGTCAAAGTATAGTCAACATACTGAGAGCATTGTCTGATCTCATCTTTGAGTCATTTTAGAATAAGTGCAATGTTTGCTTCACAAACTAAGTTACTGGGGAAAAAAATACTGAAGGTTCAAACAGGCTACTGTAAGAACGGCACCACCCTTTGAGTGCATTTACACTACCACCATTGTGGGAAATCTCACTATGCTGCAACAAGCACCTGCCATTAGAGGTCTTCAGGAGACAGAGGCAGGCTAAGAGAAGACAGCATGCTTACCTGAGTCCTGTCTACTTTACTGCTACAAATTTAACAAATTATACTGATGACAGAGCATAAATGTGTCCACAAGTAATTAAAGTCCCACATTGTGGAGAAAAAGCTTCCACAGCTTGTGAAAGATACTATCTGTTTACATAAAGCAGATAAATATTACTAACTTCTGACTATAGCAATCTCGCATGAATGGCTGACACTATAAAACTATTAAGGTCACCTCAGTGTCCGCTGGCTTTTCAGTAAGTTCTGAAGACCTATGAGCCCCTCTTTCCTCTCAGACCAGTTGGAGCTGGCACAGTGGTTCAGGACCTCAGCCACGTCTTCAGTCTGCCGCAGGTAGTGTGGAATGCCCCCGTTCCTGGAACCATAGGAGCGCTCTGAGCAAGCGCTTGATGCATCACTGTTAGCATCATCATCAGAGTACATCCCATAGGGTTCATATCTTCTTCTCACTGGCTTTTTCTGGAAAAGGGGAAACCCAGACTTAGTAAGTTATATATAGTTACATCAATGCCAAAAGAAAAACATGCTATCCGTAATCACTAAAAGAAAGATTAATGCTATTGTTATAGTGACATAAGTGTTTTAAAGACGTCACCAAGCACTGTCTGCTTACCTCTCACAGTAGAGCAAGACAGATCCCGTTATTTCAATGAGACTATTGGAGTGACTAAGGGGAACAGGGCCTGCCTTCCCCAGCATGAAAGCGAGATACTTATACCCAGTGGAGTTAGCTACGGGTAATGAAATCATATGTTGTTTTATTGTCAATAATAGTCAGTTCCATTGTTACAGATTTTATGATGATACAACCTCTACTTCAAGAAAAAAAATAAAGATAAGGAAGAAAGAGCTGAAGGAATCTGTGCTGGCATGCGCATGCACAGTCACTTTGATACTGATAATGAAGTGACTCTAAAAATGCGCTGGGATATGGTAGATGACAATTTCTCTGTTAGTTTGGGCTAGGGTTTTTCCAGAGGATGCTAAGGGAGTTGAGTACTCAAATCCCACTCATTTCCACAGCATGGCATTAGAGGACCTAATTCCTTTAGGTACGTCTTTGACAACCTCGATCCTTAGAGAAGGCATATTAGAATAAATGTGCTAACAGAACAAATTGCATACTATACTGCAAAAAAACCTCTTAAAAGACCCGTAACAGAACAGGATTGATAAGACAATATAGGCAATCTTTTTCTGATACATTCTAAAGTGTTTGCTACGGAATTTCTTCCAGTGTCCAGTCCTGCAGTTCTTGGGACTTGCGAAGCCATCAGAGTTTTGCTTCCACTAGGACTGCAGGATTGAAGTGTAGAAATTAACTCGAGTGCAGTATCATGGGTGTTAGCAACAGATTGGGGAAAGTTGGAAAGTAGAAATAAAAAGTCAAGAAAGCACTGGTACCTTGCTCCTGGAGTCTCCTAACAGCTGTAGGCAGGAAAATATTGAAGGGTGGGAAAAAGCATAGAGAATTATGTCAGAAGCTTATGTAGGGTTTGTTTTTGCAACAAAAATGTATAGCAAATGCGTCTTAGCAAATTAAAAGAAAAAATACAGTTTTTGCAAAATAAAAGTGGGTATAGTAACGCCTGACTATCTCCTAACTGCTGCGCTGCTCATATACCCTACAATTTCCCTTAGGGAGCTTGGAAGTGAGATTATCTGTTAATATATATATTTTTTTTAATGACAAATCTATACACAGCACCCCTTCGCTTACTTTTCAGAAATGCTGCTCTGGAAGATACCAGAGGTTTTGGTAACAATTTATTTCCCCTCACATTATCAGTAGGATTTGATTTCTAGGATCTTGGAAAGAAATTCTGATGTCAGGAAACCACTATCTACAGTACAGCACATTTAATCAACTTCACTTAACCAAGTTCTCTTTCAACCTGTGGTTCTTACACCACACTTTTTTGAAGTTTAGCTTCTTTTAAGACCCCCTGGCTGGCAATCCTGGCTTAAAGGCATTACTTAATGCCAAAGTTTCCATCACCCTTTGAGCTCTTCTGACAGACCCGAGCACTGATTCCCAGTATAGATGCTGTAGTTTTAGGCCAAGTCCAGCTCTCAAACAGAATCAGTGAATCCAATGGGAATTGTACACAGGGAATAGAGGTCACAAAATGACCCACTGTGTTTTGTTTAAACAGAGTATGTGGCTGAAGCCATCTCTGGAGAAGTTCTTTTCATTCCCTACTATAGGCAAAAGAATATTCCTCTGAAAACAAGGCTGCTGGGTAAAAGCTGGCATCACATTATGCTTTCAAAAGGAGCCTGAATAGAGTTTTTAAATTGCCTGTTGTGAGAAGACAACCAAGAAAAAGAACACATTGGGGTGGTGGGAATGAAGGGGACAAGACGACTGCATTGCATCCCCTAAAGTCATACAAACTCAGACTGATCAACCAAGTCAGCAACACCACTTAAATTTCCAGCTAGACATAATAATTTCCCTTTTAAGTCTTCAACCCTTTAAGATTTTTAACATTCCAGTATAATCTTATTTAGTTTAAAAGAGTGGAATATTTAAAAGGGAACTTGAAGTCTAGCTGAAGATTAAGTCACACCCAAAGAGATCTCAGTGATCAGCCATGTATTGAAACACTGTGACCCTCTCCTCCCTCAAGAAACCTGTATTCAGCAACTGCTCACTTTCAGGGATACAGCCTGATTTCATTTATGCAGGCATACAATCACCTATAATTAAGCTCTTAACTGCTCTGGTGGCAAATTTGAGGTGCTGAGAGCAGAAAGTGGCTCACAAGTTGCTGTATTTGGTAATGAAAATGCCCACCAATGAGTCAGCCCACTAAATGCAACAGTGCAATCTACTATATACTGTCCTACCTTTATATTATTCACAAATACTTTTTTTTTTAATGGAAAGGTGGATTTTTCTAGAGAAATGTAATTTTTTTACGAGTACTCTAATAATCACCATCTAGAAATGGAGGTGATGTGAACTGAGTGATAATCAAATATAAAAAGGAAAAAGTTAGCCGTTCCTAAGGAAAGTCAACGAGGAAATGGAGAAGGGACCTCTATCACAAACACTGGGGACATGGTTCATTCTCCATAAAGAGAGATCTGAGATATCTGCCTCAAGATACATCAGAAAATCCTCCCCTCAGCTCAGGTCTAGAGCTGGAGAAAACCCAAGGTACACTGGTATCCAGCTACTGCTGTAGAGCAATTGCTCCTGCCTCTGCACACCCTCTCAACCCCCCCCACCCCCCAAATACTCAAGGTAAATGCAAAAGCTTATCTTAACATTTGTCTTCCAAAGAACAGAAAACAATTTTCTGGGTTCTAGCCCAGCGATATTATAGTACAGTAAGATTATACAGGACAACAAAGTTTTAAAAAATGACAATAAATTTACTTGGAAATGCACTGAATGTTTGAAAGTACTAGTAGCAAACTAGACGAAAACACTTCAATTTAACTGCATGAGATGGTACCGATTACAGGCAAACCAAGTTCTGAGCTGAGCCGAGTATCTAGCCAGGTGCAAAGAGCACAGGGCAGGAACTCGTGAAGTTCTACGGTCTTGCTGAAACCCGATCAGGAATTGACACTAACAGAGAACACTATGTTTTTCTGACAGAGTCTTCATGCAGGTAATGGGATTGACGGAAGTCCCTGACCCTGCGGGTGCCGAGCACTCCCACAGTGCTGCATTCATCCTCTGACAGCCAAGCAGAGGACAAACAGCTGATTCAACCCATCCGGCAGCCCTAGAACCAAGCCACAGCGGTCTGTTTGAAAATAGCTGCGGAGAACTCACATGGAATAAGGAAACAAATATTGCTGCTGATACACCCAAAGACCAAACAGCAAAAGGTAACTAACTCTATAGCATCAGACACTCGCACAATCAGAACAAAGCTATTTAGAAAGAGGAGAACGTACGTACAGGTAACTTTAAGCCACTTTCTGGTGTCGGAAGCATTTTGTGTTTTTCCTCTTACCAGTGCATCGGCCACAGCAGCCTCCAGATCTGTGCTTGTGCTCAGGACTCGCATGGCATTCACAGAAGCAGGCATCCTGCCTGGCTGTCCGAGTCCAAACCGGTCTGCACAAAAGACAACATTGAAAGGGATTGTTAAATGAATTCTCATTCACTTGGAATCCTAATCAGGTGCCCAAGCAGCTCTCCCCATGGCTCTGGGAACTTGCAGTGCTTTTCCATTAAACACACTTTTATCCACAGCTCTAGAGAGTTTGCCATTAGAGTAAGAAGTAAACTATTGTTTGTTGGGCCCCAGAGACAGTTTTGGATCCTCAAGGCACTTTTAATTTATTTTTAAGCTGGGAAGCGGGGTATCTATTTTGTGTTTCTTTTCTTTTGTGGTTTCAAAGTTTTATTCTAATGTCAGTGTCAGACATGCCGGTCCCGCTCTGGCACTCTCAGAAATAAGGAGAAAGCTTCTCATTAACTTCAGAGACAGAATAGTGCCCAGTGTCAGAACATGTTAATACCTGAGCACTTACCCATCCTGCAGCTTTTTCTGAGGTAAGGATGCAAGACTAGAAGCACCAGATTAGCCTATTTCATGTCTCAAGGCTTGATTAACCAGTAGAATATCCCCCTATGCCCCACAGTATAAAAGTAAGGTTTATTATTTGCTTGTGAAGAGACTCCAATTTTTATTACTTGAGAAGAATTTTATTCTTGAGAAGCAGTTTAAAAGCTGTTTAAAAACTTTACGATATACCAAAAATTGATTTTTTTGATCAAACAATATAATCGTTCTCCCTTTGAATTTGATGGCAAAGCTCTCAATGGAATCCAAAGCAAGATGATTGAGTTCAAAACGCCCTTTACACTCCTAGTACTAATTAGTGTACTTTATCATTTGCCCAGTCTACCAAAAAGGTTACTGAAATTAATTTCTTTGGGCAAGGGCCAAATTCAGAAAGCCATGCTAGCAGGCATATGACAGAATCAATGACTTGAGTATCACAGGCCAGGCCCTGGCAGCAAAGTCCTTCCAGATGGGGACAGATCAAATACCATATTACTGGGATCCTGGCTCCAGTCTATAAGCAGCAAGAGATTAGTATTCCAAGTTTTTGTTTCCACGTAGGCTTGTCTTTGCTCAAGAAGGACTGGGAACACCCTTCTTGGGACTTAATTTACACCTCTGTCCCCTGCACGAGCCAATAAGAGTTTTGGCAACAAATTCAGTGCTGTACAAATCAAGCTGCATGAACCCATTTAATAGACCTTCAGCTGATCCACATCAGAGGCAGTCATCAAGCAGCAAGAGAGAAGAATCAAGTCACAGGTTTTTTATTAGTTCATCTATATTTTATTTAACGAAGGAAAAATACTGTTTATCAAAATGCATAGCTATATCGTGGATTTCCACAAAACTGAGGTCAAACATGATATTCAGCAGCTTACTGTATTTTTGGGGGAAAACACTGCACTTATCACAAAACTTCATTGCTTTCTTCTTTAAAAACCTACTGCACTGAAGTCTCTTTTAAGGAATTAGCCCACACTGATGTGTATAATTTAAATCACAGACTGAAGTTTACCAGCCTACTGTCCTAATTCCAAATCTTTACCAGAAGAGACTGGTAAATCAGAGATTAAGCTACTGTGGAGGAATAGGGAAGATTTTTAAAATCTGAAGTATTTTGAGGAAAAAAAAGCAAAACCTGAAGACTAGTATTTATTTCAAAGTGTTATCTATCAAAATTTACTGTTTCTCAGAGTTACGTAACCAGACAAGACATTTCTGATTTACAACAAAAGCACATTTTATACAAAACACATTACAAGGAAAAAAAATAAACAAACTTCTTAAAACTACTGCCAAAAAGTAATTAAATCATGACATTTCACAAAGAAATAAAAGTTGTATGTGTTATTACTATCCCCTTTTTTAATGCACTTGGGTTGAGGAATCATTTCAAATATTTAGGTGAAACAGTATTTCATCCCTAAAATGGAAATATCTGTACACTCTTAATAGAAGCACAGAGAAGATGATGATAATGTGATTATCTGGTCTGATTGAAGCTAAAGTCACTTCTACAGAGATACACACTACAAAGATGTACAGGAGACATGTATTTTCCTAAGTGCAAATGATACCTGGGTACCAGGGCTGTAAATGTTGAGACAAGTTCTGGACTCAGTTTTATATTTAAACCCAACTCAGTGACTTTACTCAAGTGTTACTCGGATCAGAATTTGGCTTTAACTTTTGAAATAATGCAGCGTCAAAAAATACCAGTGTCATTTGTTTTCATGTTAATTTAGTATTACATTAGAAAAGGGAAGATAGTTTGTTTTTTTAAAAATGAAGAACAGAATGACAAAGTAATTCAGTTGTAGATCAGTTTAAATACCCAGCTTAGAGAAACAAAATAAGAGCTTTAACAAATTAAGTACAGTGTGGCATGCTGGCTTTTATCTATCTCCACAGCTATCAGGAATTTTCTGAAATACTTCCTTTAGTGATCTTTAAATTTGTAACACCCAAGTCACTCTGGGCTTCTCCCCAATACACTGTTGCCATACCTGAGCACAGAAGTTAGACCTTAGGAGAGACCTCAGCATCTCTCTAACATGGGGTTAGGAACACATTTGGCCCCAGGAATAACCAGTACAGGCAAGCCCAGTGTTAAAGGGCAAGAAATAAGCTCTGGCCACATTCCTTTGTGTCTCCCTGGCTAGATTCATTATATTTGTTACAAACTTGGTAAAAACTTGGTAAAAACTCCCACCATTTTTCGTCCAATTTTGTCATTTTTGGGCAGATTTTGGCCATCTTCAGGACACAGGTAACCATATACAATTTGATTATGCTTTGTTCCAAATAACAAGGGCCAAGCATGAAGTGACTATCACAGGGAGTTGAATGCAAACAAAGCTTAAATTTGTATTATAATTGAGTTTTTTTAAAATATTTTTGTTTATTTTTGTTAAGTACCAATTCAAATTGTTACTTTGAAAAATGCCAAAGAGTCCAATCAGCTTGCATCATTTCTGCCAAGTAATCTGACAAGGGAAATGTTTTGAGAGTTTTAGGTAAGCGACAGCCATTTAGAATCACAGAATAGTTTGGGTTGGAAGGGACCTTTAAAGGTCATCTAATCCAACCCCCCTGCAGTGAGCAGGGACATCTTCATCTAGATCAGGTTGCTCAGAGCCCCGTCCACCCTGGTCTTGAATGTTTCCAGGGATGGGGCATCTACCACCTCTCTGGGCAACCTGTGCCAGGGTTTCACCACCCTTATTGTAAAAAATTTCTTCCTTATCTAGTCAAAATCTGCCCTCTTTTAGTTTAAAACTATTACCCCTTGTTCTATTTAACTAGACTTAAGTGAAACGGAGTATTTTTCACTCCTTATCTGAAGGGGGTTAATTAAATAGTTTTCAGCATCACTAATTCCTTATGCAATTTCAGTCTCCAGGCAAACACTGAAGCCTTCATTCATCTTTGACATCATCTTTGTCCCCACAACTAAGTTTCCATTGACCCAAAGCTGGCAGCCCTCACTCATTTAAGATTCTCAGTGAAATATCCTGACTCTCAAGGGAGTTACAGGTTCTCCGCAACTGCAAATCCTGCAGAGGGGTGGGGAAGAAGCCACTAGAATCTGCAGTTTTCTCATTATATGTAAGCATTAATCTCCTGATGCAAAGCCCAGTGAAATTAAGGGAATCACTTGTTTCAACAACTTCCATGTACTTTGGACAAGGCCTTCAGAATTATATGAAGGATGGATCACCATGTGTTATCCTCTGAAGTTCATTTTGGAAGCACATCAGGTGCTTAATTCTTGCTGCTCTTGCATATTTTGGAGAGGATCCCGCAAAGCACTTTCATTAACAGAGACAGGAGTCCAGGATATTTAGTAATAAATGGGATGAAACCTACTGGGATCCAGTCCTAGGCATTGGGAACTGCCACACTGCTAAAGAGGAAATATAAACAGAAGTTGCAAATACTCTGCATCAGTCAGGATTTAGGCCATGCTGTGCAACTGACCCAATTTACAGGAGAACTGAGAAAGCCCTGGATCACCCTTTGTTTAAACACTGCTCACAATGTTCCTAAAATACATAAAATTAAAAACACCCAGTAAATGAAATTCAAAACAAAAAGCCACATTGAACAAAACGGAACAGAAAGCCCCACAGCGGTGAGAAGCACATGCCAAGTGCTGGCTGATGCACATGACGGCAAATGTTAAGATGGTGTAAAACAAGACTACGTGTAAGAAGCAGATTCATGCAGTTAGCGCTTGTTCACCTGACTGCCCAACAGAATCAGCAGTGGAGAGAGCACTAGTGGACCTGGAATGACGTCGAGAAGCTGCAAGTAGAAGGAATGGCAACACCCACAGGATTAACACACATTTAACCAGAGACAGAAAATGTCACAATCCAAAGGGGATGCGTGTGACCGCTACCAGTAAAGGTGTTTCATAGTGACAGGGAAATGACGCTGCATATGAATGCATAACAGATACAGTGCAAGCCCCACAGCGACACCTCCATCTGTAGCTTCCCCCCCACCTTTTCCCCATGACCATAAACACGATGCATGACAAAACTCATTTGTAACAGTCCCAAACCCAGTGCAATTCAGCAAAAAACCCAGTGCACATCAGCCACATTCCAGACCCACAGATCTGGAAGACGGCCATCATGAGAACGTGGAGCACATAACTACAGAGCAGGATTTAGATGTGTCTGATCTAAACCCTGAAGTGAAGCTATGATGAATGGTTAGGAATTGTGCTTGCAGGTATTTTTCCACAACATTCTAGCCTATGCATTAAAAAAAACCAACATCAACAAAGAGAATGAGTAACCACGGAAGTAGAAAGAGTCATACAGGGAGGTCAGCCAGCCACCACACGCAGGTCTTTGGGTTGGGTTTCTGTTCCAAGTAAACACAAGTACACACATCGTAGCTGTCGCTACTACCAAACGTCTCTTGCTTTTAACAAATTTTGCATACATGTTTCTTGAATCTAAGTATGTACATGCACAGATAATCTCAATATGCACATCATACTCCTATCTAGGATTACACCACATGTATACAAATTGTTACTAGCAATGGAGCACGCACAGTAGCAGAAGAGCTGAAACCAAATATAGCTCCCACTTCAATTCCCAGTTGTCAGCAGCACATGAATCACAAAATGCCTTTGGAGAGGTTTTCAGTTCTCAGGTTCAGCATAAAGGTGAGTTCTTTATGAAAGCAAACAGAAAGCTGGTCCAGCCATTTCCAAATTACAGAAATTTGGTTTTTCTAAAGAGGTGTTCCCTGTATCTAGCAATGACATGCTCACCTGGCTCAAAGCAACTGACCCAAGAAACTGATTGCTCATTTGAGCAATTCATCACCACAGACTCACTGAAGGCCTTGTTGCTTTAACATCATTACTAGTACTGTCAAGAAACCGAAAAAATAAAGCAGAATCACCTTCTAATACAAATAGGCTTTGTCAATTATGCATATACGTGCATAGTAGAAAAATTACAAGTCTTCTGTTTTAAGGCAAAGCATTCATAAACACAAATACTAGTATTATAAAATAGAAATCAGCAAAGTAAGAAAAATAAAATTTAAGTTTTTCCCCAGCTGTGAGACCTTGACGAAAAGCTATACAGAATATGCAATGTGACCTTTAACTATGGAGAACACATGCATTTATTCAAGAGAACAATCTCACTGACACCGTAACTCATGAAAGATTTGCGGGATCAGTGCAGGATTATGGACTGAATCTCACAGTTAGGATTCTGAGCTTGCAATTGCTTTCTCCTGAGCCATCCGCTGTGCCACTGTGGACATCACTGCAAGATCAAGGCCCATGAAGAAACAGGAACGACAACAACAAAATGATCACATCTCTGCAAGGAGGCCAAGTGTAAAGTGACTTCTTCACTGGTGTTTCCTAACTTAGGAAGCAAGATGTTTGGGGCAGAGACATGCATACCTGCACAGCAGCCCCGAAACAAAGCAGAGCAATCTGCAAGGTCAGGATATCAGGGTTGACATTGACCATAATACCATTAAATGCAAGAATGCTGCCGTTCACATATAGCCAACTTAAGTATCATTCACTAATATACAATTTAATCTTTATGAGAAAGAATAGACCATGCACAGTAGGATTATATTATCTTAGCATTCATGTAAGATTACCTGGGTTCTAGAAATACTGTAATAGAATCATATTGTTTTGGCTTAAATTGACATATATAAATTTATTTCCGATTAGTTACACACTACATAATTAACAAGTTCATGAACATTTTTGAGCTTAAAGCATTTCCATGAAAACACAAGAAAAAAGACAACAGAATGAAAACTATAATGGGTTACTATTATATTGATACTTCCTCCCCACCCTCCGTTAATGACTTTTGTAACAATGTATTTCTAGAAATGAAATAATCTTCAGGTAATTCAATATCATTAGTTAAAATTAAATGTCCCCCTCCCCGTAACAAAGTTTGTTACAACCAGTGTAATAGACATCTGTAACTGAGATTTTATATTTGTTGTACGAGTCAGACCCAGTGGTGGTCTCAACCAAGCTCACACCAACTGTGATTCTGGTACGCTGCATTTATTTTTCAGAAAAAGGGCTCAAGACAGTATTTCAATTAATGTTTTTTCACTAAAATGAAACACAGCACAATGACATAGAACACTGATGAGCTAACCCTGAAATCTAGCCTACTTAAACACTTCGGTTGGAGAAAATAATCCAAAATGGAAGCTAGAAAAGTAACTAAAAATGAGCTGCAGTTGCTTATCTACTGTTCTTTTATGGCTCTGCTATCACATCAGCTTTACTGAATCAATAAAAAGTTCATCTACTTATCTTAAAGAGCTATGAACCCAGTTCTGAGTGTTAAGTTGAACTCCTCTCATTTTTCACCAAAATTTGAGGTATTAAAGGAAATAGATTATTTTATAGCTCACTACAGTTCAAAATAATGAAGTTTTGAACCCAAAAGCCTCTCTAATATTAATCTGAAGATTACACTCTACAGCACTGAAATCAATAGAAATTTTGCCAATGATTTCATATGCATGAAGAAAACTAGCCTCTCCACGGACATTTGAAATTGAGATGAATAACGAAACCAATAATGACAATAGCTATGTAAATTTAAAAAGTTAAATTACAGTGTATTAATCAAGTATGAGAACAAAACATGAAAATTTTGCTCATCTGTCCATATTTTTCATAACCTTTTCTCACAATTGGATTTAAGTTGCAGAATTAAGCCCAAAATTCTATGTTCCACTTACACACTACTTTGTATACCTGTATATTGTCACTATAGAAAAAAAGATCCTATAATAGATCCTATATAAATGTTCTTCAGCCTTGATGGAATTTGTAAGAGCTTTTTTCTCACTTTTAATACCACATGCACAGATATGAAATTACTACATAAATGAAGAGGGCCTGGAGATCAACTATGTTTCATTATGTCCGAGATGACAAACAAATCTTTCATACAAGTAATGTATTTGGTTGAATATATGATACGATATTTGATCAGAAACATTAACTATCCTGCTGTTTTCAGCCTTGTGCAAAAAAAAAACTTCTGTATATGGTAACTGTAATGAGATTTTCAACTTGTACACTTAAGATGCATGATAATGATGCTCCTCTAAAACCTCAAACTTTCCATGATTTTAGGCTGCTTGAAAAAGTTTTCTACAAAATGGCATGTGTAACTTGTTAACAGATGATTGACAATATTGTGTAAAACCTGTACAAAATAGAGGTTCTATATCTATTGGAGGATTTAGTACAGAAATTATATGCTACTGTACCTAGCTGTAAGAAAACCAGATCATGAATAGAGTCACTCGACAACAGGCTTCAATGCTACCAACTACCTGACTGTGACCCTAGAAAGAGAGGCTTGCTCTCCCATAGATTTCCATCAGTGCTGTAAAGTGAAGCACAGCAGCCTTCAAACACAAATAAGCTCATTTAATGAAACTAAAAATTACAGAAGTTCAAAGTAATCTTTTTTCCTACTAACAGTGAAATGCTGAGAACCAGAATTGAAGCATGCAGAAGAAAACAGAAGGGAAACAGGGTTGGAAATGGGGAGTGCGTCAGGATCCAAGAGAGGACAGGAAACAAGCTCATTCCACCTGGCAGCGTCTTTGAAAGGGCAATCAGAAAAAGGGAAAAAGAGAAAAAAAAAAAATCGACCCTTAAAGCTCCAATTCCTACAAGTACTCACCAAGTGGAGGAAAGCCCCGAGCAGGGCTTGTATCTCGACTGCTCTCACGGCTGGTATCACGGCTGCACCCCTGACTCATGCTGGGTCGGGGGATACGACTGCTCCGTGCTAGCATGCAGCATGGAGAGTTTCAGAGAAGGTGAACAAGTTTAATGAGGACAGAAAGCTCAAAGTCAAGTCACATTTCTGTTAGTTACGGTAATTATTACATTAGTAATTATAATTTGCAGCAGCCTGGTCAGGCTCTTTACAAACCAACTACCTTAACATGCTGAGCTGTGTTTATGATGTGAAATTTCAGCAGCATTAAATGTCTGGTTTTCAGTCTGCTTTTTTCTTAAGCAATTCAAGTTTTGTTATTCAAGTAGAGCAGGTATCTTCAATCATTTAGGGGAGCTCTACTGTTACAAAACATGCAAAACAGATGAAACCCTCCTGGTATGTTTTTTCCTTAATTAAAAGATAAACGCCTTTATGGAACAAAACAGCAGTGTTTTTAACCAGGTCAAAATTTTTAAAAGTTGTTACAATACCACTGTGCTATTTTTACATATATTTGTCTTTCACAAGGAGAGTTTTGCCATGAACAAATATCCTAAACAAAAAAGGTGTATTGTACAGACTTGCAGAGATATTTTCCTCCAATGAAAGATACTGGGAAAGAAACATTTAGAACCGGAATACCTGAAAGACAGGTTAAAAAGTGGTTTGAATTTTAAGGCAGCAGCAGCTTCAGATCTTGTAACAGAAGCAATCTAGCTATTGCTCCTCAAACATTTCTAAAACCTCATATTTATGGTTTTATTATGCACAAAGACTGAGATATTAGCGCACTTAAGGGGAGCTTTAAACTCTATTCTTTTCTTTGACAAAACCCTACAACGAGACTCTTCTCTTTGGTCTGGCAGCTATCAAGTGTTCAATCTCCTACAGCCTAATAAGGGTCCTGCCTGTCAGCTGTGTCACAGGAACTCATCATATGCACAGTCTTCATTTGGCCAAATGCAAAGTAGAAGATAGAAGATTAAGCTGCTTTTATAGTAAAAAGCAATCCCACTGACTTCAGTTGAAGTTTTGTCCAAGTAGGAAAAACAGAGTTACGCCCTTAGAAGGCTGCTTAACATCAAGGAGTTGAATTTTTTTATTTTACAAAATGAACATTTTAGGTATTTAAAACTGGATTATTCCTCTGCAAATTCTGTGTCATTTTGATAGGAAAGATATTTGAGAAAGTTATTTAATAAGCTTTATGCCCAGTAGAGAATACAAAGTTTTCTTCAGGAAAAGAATAGCAGTTAATTGTTATGAGTTTACCTTGAAGAATTTAATGACTAAAGAGATATTTCCTTTGCTGTTTTGAAAAGGCAGTAGCATATTTTAAGTGTTCAGGAAAAGCCTTTAAGGAATTTTCTCATGCACTGAGTAAAATCTAATCTACCAGCTTAGATGAAAATGGAGCAGAGGCACATACACATAACATGAACCTGCTTTATGCTACTACTTTCACAGTACCGTCGTACTTATAAATAGTGCCACTTGCATGCTTCAGAATACATATATTCTTATAAAGCTCTATTTGTTTGTACACAGAACTTAAATGCCTAGACTCAAGCTAATAAAGTTCCCCTGCAGTGCTTCCGTGGGCTCATATACACTGGATCTATTACTATCCTCTCAAGCAAAGCAGTACAGAAGAAAATAGAAACTTCATATTTAGGCTTTAAAATTCAAATACAGACTACTGCCAGAGTCTTGGTTTGTCAAATCCTTCCTTGTTTTGCAAAACCTAGTTCATATCTCTCAGATGAATTAATGGTTCTGATGGTTGAACTTTGATGCCAGACAATACAAGATGAGCTATTGACCAAGCTGACTAAATCACCATAATGCCTAAAAACCTCTGTGTTAGATGGTCTTATAATAAATAAGACAGACTAAATAATATGAACCGGATGAAATTAGGGTCCATGAGTACAATAATCCCACCTCAGATGTACAAGGAAAAAAGCTGACAGGGGAACTACAGGTGAAAGTAACACTCTAAAGTCTTCCACACGAATACTTGGTTGAAATTGAGGACTCTCCAGCAGCGAACTTCTCATTCTTGGGTCTCATGCTTATATGTAAATAATGGCAGCCTTCACATCAGGTTTGCACAAAGCAGTCATTTCTCTTAAATAGAGAAGATCTGTCAACCTTTTCTATAATACAATCCTACTAAAAACTAGCAGAGGCTCTTTAGAGAGGGAGAGACGTGAACGATTCAAAAAATTAATGGATGCACACAGTACATTCTCGTTCTATAACAGCTAACAGCAGCAGCATGAGCTATGAAGAAAATGTACTTTAACTGCATGAGAACAAACCAGTAGGACAATGCCACAGGTGAAGCACAATATTGATTGCACAGAGCACCCAAAAATAAACACTGGGTACTTCATGAGCAATGGTCAAACAAAAGATTTGCCTGTTACTGGATACAAATACAAGCAAGACACAAGCAAGGAAACAAAGAATGGATTGCAAAGAACTGAATGATAAGTCTGTTGTGGCCTCCCAGGCACCTGCCCCATACTTTTACTGCTGTGTTGTGTAAGGAAGATTAGATACCAGCTGTTATTTTCTTTGGGCGCTGCCAGCAGCAAGGGCCAGCAGCATTGTCACTTAGACAAGTTTCTCATAGTGTCACAACCTGTCTTTGCAGTGCAGGCAGCAAAGGCAGAGAAGGCAGACATTAAGTCTCAATTTCAGAATTCCCAACCCCCAAAAGTTGGAGAGAAATTAAGAAAGTGAGTAGCAAAATTTATTAAAAGGAGTTGTCAGGATGACAGCAGACAACATGCCCACAGCCAGCTCTGGACTAAAAATCTAGGACAGGACAAGGGTGGGTTGTTTTCGATAAAGCCCCAACTTTCCAGATGTGTCCCATACATCTAAGTTTTACCAATTTCATTAGGAAAGGCAGAGCAGCTGGATACGGTTCACAACATTATTAAAAGACACTAGTACACTGTCTTACACCAGTGGAACCCAACTGATGCAAATACCACCAGCAGAACTTGAGAGTGTCCCTGTTTACCAATCTACCACTTGGAAGAAACCTGTATTTCATTAGAGTATGATTCTTAATGATTCTTAAGTGGAGACTAAATATCAGCAGACAGTTCCTTTACATCAATACAAGTATTTTAAAGAGCACGTAAATGCTGCCAAAACAGCCAAAAGGAAAGCTCGGCAGTCAGGCACACCCAGCAGAGGCAAGTCAAGAACTGCCTTCAGCTTTCCAATGAACACACACAGCGTAACCCTGACAGAAAGTGCCGCTGCATGAAACTGATAACCAGCTGTGCCTGCTCCACTCTTCAGAGTGACAATCTCAAATCTCTCACTCCTTTCAGATCCAACTGTGACACATGATCTGCTGAGCATCCAACAGAATTAACTTCAAACAGATAAATTTTCAATCCATGGGAAACAGATATCACCTTTTTTGATGAGATCTCCTTCAAGGGGCCCAAAGAAAAGCTCAATACTAACTGGACTATACTCTTCCTCCCCCAACAGGGTGTCACTGCCAGTAAGTCTCCACTGAGCAGACAGCAAAGTCAAGCTTAAAACTTGCTTGACCAACCTGATGTCCTTCTATGAC